GGTTGAGATATAAGGAATTTAGAGATGGCATTGATTTCTGTTCTCTTTTAAAGGCATGACAAGTTTGTCTCATAGCAACGAACTTCCTTCCATGTCAATCCCAAACGTATGCATTTTGACTGATGTTTTTGTTAAAAGAAAGCTAAAGGAATTCCTGCAGATTTTTCTCCGCTAGCCGTTGCTGCCTAGAGGGGGCAATGCTCATCGTCATTTCAAGGCCACTGAGCCAGCGCTGTGTGAAGACGTGTCTGGGTTCATCTGGCCAGCATGATGTCACAAAGTCCTGTTACCTTCCCAATGAAGTGGTACCTAGTTACTTACTTGCATTTGCATGTTTTCAAACTGCTGGGTGGGGTAAGAGGTGAGGATGGGAGCTCACCCCATTGCATGGATCTCAGCTGCCCATTTCCCAGCTGACAAGCCCAGCAACTTCACTTATGAGCCAGTCGCCAAGAGTCTAAATTTTGATCATGGGGACAACAATTGTCAAGTGTGAAAAATGGTCCTGGTTTTTTCAGTGCCATTGTAAATTTGAACAGAGTCACTAAACAAATGGTTATAAGTTGAGGACTACCTGTAAACTGAATGTGCATCCTTGAATTTGCCCTACAGCCTTATGTCATGAAAAAGTAAAGTTTGAAAATCCCAAAGCAAACGAGGATGTTATAACCAGTTAAAACTTCATTATTTTGTAACAAACTTTTTCTGCTGAACTTACCACACATTTTTCCCAAATTACTGACATCCGTTCTTCGATGCCATTTGTTCCTTCTGGAATCAGAGTGAAGTTATCCTTTCCAACTGCCTTCTGGGCTGTGGTGAAGGTACAGTGAGCACTGCCCACCACTTGGAGATCTCCACTAATTAAAAGAAATGTCAAATCAGTGAACAAAAAGAAGAGGCTCCAAGACACTCAACATCTAAGGCACTTCTGAAATTTGATTTGAAGTCTCCTCGGTAGAAAGCAAAGAACGACAAGTTTTTTTTTGTTTAATTCTTAAAGAGTACAATATAATTTATTTTGGTATTATTTTATAGTTGAAAGGATGTAAAATCCACATCTTTCCACTGCTTTATAGCTTTCTCAGCTCTCTGCAATTTCTGCTCTGAATAAGTACAATGAAAACCTCCCTCCTGTTATCTTCTCTTAGATTTAATTAAGGGAAGGAAGGCAGGGAGGTTAAAGAGGACTGTCCAATGAAAACCATAGTTTGATGATGTTATAATTTAATAATTGCCCTCCTTTGCAAAAATACGATATACTAGATTTCAAAGCTATGGACGCACCAAACAATATGTCTTCTTAATGACTACGGTGAAAGCCTGCCAATTGGTTGCTAGTATCTGGATCCCAAGAGGGATTCTTGAGATCCAATTATGCTGTTTTCCTGCTCTCCACTCTGCCCATTGAGATATCTCTTGGGCTCCAGACAGGCTTCCTGATCCATCTGATATTTTGAAAAATAATTTCTCTTAGTTAAAAAAAAGTGGGAAGTTGATAGTCTGCCAACAAACACCAGCTTTGAACACCATTTATTTAGTTGTTTCCAAGAATGTTTGCGGCCCTGAAATGAACTTCTTCCAAATATTTCATGAAAAGTAGATGAAGTCCATTACTTTGGAAATGTTCACAAGTATCCAGAAAAAAAAAATCAAGCTGAGGTAGAAGAATCTAGGCAAGTGTTACAGAACAACCTCATTAGATCACAATTAAATGGTGTGGAACTAGCTGGATTTCAGATGTTTCCTCCATCTTAGAAAAGGTTGAAAGTCCTGCATTAGCTCTTCCCATTAAAATTTTGTTTTGCAGATTGAGAAAAATGACTTACCAGGCTAAGAGTGAAGAGAGATGATCAGGGGTTGTGGGGTCTGGACTGACAGGTGGAGATGTGACAAAGGCTGCCGCTTTTGCCCAATTCTTACTCCAGTAATGGGAGCCATCAGTACCAAGGCTTGCTGTAATGGGCTCTCCATACACAATGGTGCCTAAAGACATAATTGTGTGTTGGTCATTCCTGGGACAAATGAGATGAAGTCTCTCCCAACTAGAATAGAATAACAGAGTTGGAAGGGACCTTAGAGATCTTCTAGTCCAACCCCCTGCTTAGGCAGGAAACCCTACAACACTTCAGACAAATGTTTATCCAACAACTTCTTAAAAACTTCCAGTGTTGGAGCATTCACAATTTCTGGAGGCAAGTTGTTCCACTGATTAATTGTTCTAACTAGATGTTCTTCAACTACTGTGTTTTCCCAAAAATAAGACAGGGTCTTATTTTCTTTTAACCCACGAAATAAGCACTTGGCCTTATT